CGTCGACGCCACACGCGTACACGGCGACTATCACTGGACAAGCAGAAACGCGACTCATCTGAGAACACGACCCTGTGTCATTCCGTCATCCACGTCGATCTAGCCCGGCACCATTCCAAACGTTGGCGCCTATTCGGTGGGGTCAATGGCAGTCTTCTTAGCGGACGGCATGAGTGCAAGCCATTAGCAATCAATAGACGGGAAATGGTTCTGGTCTAGATGGAATGATCTAGGGTGTCTTTCACATGTTGCAGGATGGCGGTACAAGTGGCTTGTGGGGCCGCCACTGCTTGTCGAAGGATACGCCGATCCACACGTGCTGACGTCACTCTGGTTGCACCGGCATTCCTATAAATTGCCACATTTCCTTGTTCCAACCATCTTCTCCACAGTCGGTGCACCGTGGACGCACCAAGGTGTGTATCAGCTGCGATTTGACGTATGGACCAACCTGCCCTTTTCAGTCCGATCACCATGCCCCTCGTAAAAGCGTCTGTCTGCTTGAACTGCTTCCGTTTACGATGACCTGGCATTCTCTGTTATTACACGTGTCTTTTGACACAAGAAAAAAAATTCTACAATGATTTTCCTTGAAGAAATAACGACACGAATACTGTCCTTTCTGCAAGTTCCTTCCCTTATATCTTACTCCATGTGCGCACGAGAGCTGCGCATTTTACATCATTTGCATAACTCGGTTAGGCGCGTCTACCCTGAAATTTGCATAATTTTCTGGCCACTATTTCTTGGTGTTCCATTTTCAATGTCACGCAGTGTATATTAAATGGGAGAGATCAAATTAAGCAAAATCTTTCTTTTATAGAATTTTTTTTTCCAAAACTTTGAATTTGAACTTTCATGTAGAATTTTTTTTTAATTTTCACATGTCAATACATTTGTAAGTGTAGACATTCGGTCTGGTTTAAATTTTGGCAAGGAGAGATCAAATTAAGCAAAATCTTTCCTTTATAGAATTTTTTTTTCAAAACTTTGAATTTGAACTTTCATGTTAAAAATTTTTAAATTTTCACGTCAATACATTTGTAAGTTTAGACATTCGGTCTGGTTTAAATTTGGCAAGGAGAGATCAAATTAAGCAAAATCTTTTATAGAATTTTTTTTTCAAAACTTTGAATTTGAACTTTTATGTTAATTTTTTTAAATTTTCACATGTCAATACATTTGTAAGTGTAGACATTCGGTCTGGTTTAAATTTGGCAGGGAGAGATCAAAATAAGCAAAATCTTTTATAGAATTTTTTTTTCAAAACTTTGAGTTTGAACTTTTATATTAAAGTTTTCAAATTTTCATGTCAATACATTTGTGAGTATAGATATTCAGCCAAGTTAATTTTTTTTTTTTGGGAACTAAATGTAACCCTTTTAATGTAATATCGGGATCTGTTCCCGATGACGGGTTTCAAGGAAACTCCAGAGGGATGAAAGAGAATTGAATGGCGTTATGAGGTGTGATGAAAGGGGGGGTCGAATGGTGTCGAAAGAGATAAATATTGAGATATATTAAAGGACTCCTGCAAAATCAGTAGATTAACGTTATATCGGAATCTGTTCCCGATGACGGGTTTCAAGGAAACTCCAGAGGGATGAAAGAGAGTTGAATGGCGTTATGAGGTGTGATGAAAGGGTAGCTGAGGGCCAAGGACTTCGTGGTGTAAACATTTCTGTTACCATCGAAGATGGGAAGAGGACTGAAAATTTTAACCTCAACTTCTACTGCCTTCTCAAAGGATTTACGAGTAAGGTCTCTTGGCTATGGCTTAGATTTTTTTTTGGGAGCATTGTATTTTGGGTGATTTCCTTTGAGTCACTCGGGTCCCATATGCGAGTCCCATATGCGAGTTATTATATTATTTTTTTAACTTTATTTACTCAAAAATGGGACAACAGTAGTGATATGATGGATTTTGTAGCGGAGAGAAGGGAGGAAGGTCTCAGTCATCCCAGTTGTCCTCACCCCCCCCCCCCCCCCCCCCCCCCGTAGCGGCAGCTGTAGACAAGGTGTCCTGCCAGCCCCGTAGTGGTAGACCTCTGGAAGATTTATTGCTAGTGGGTAAAGATTGGCCTGTAGTAACGGTGGTCGCTAGGAAACCAAGTTATCTGGGCGAGGGACTCCAATTGTTCTGTTGGGAGGTACAGAAAACTTCAGTGAACTCCTCTATACCCTAGACTGTTGGAGACGGAATTTTTTTTTCCGAGGTCCCTGATCACGGTGATCACGTAGTGATCCATTGTTATGACTATTTAGTGATTCGCGTCATAATCAATGTTCTGATTACTATTTCTCGCCCGCGTCCGCACGACACTGTTTGACTGTGAGCTCCTCTATCTCCCGCACTGGTGGAGACGGATTTTTTTTCTTTTTTCGAGGTCCCTGATCACGGTGATCACGTAGTGATCCATTGTTATGACTATTTAGTGATTCGCGTCATAATCAATGTTCTGATTACTATTTCTCGCCCGCGTCTCCGCGGTACTGTATGAATGTGAACTCCTCTATCCCCTGGACTGATGGAGACGGATTTTTGAGGTCCCTAATCACGTTGTAGTCCATTGTTTTGACTACCTAGTGACCCCACATCGTAATCAATGTTTCGATTACTATTTCTCGCCCGCGTCTCCGCGGTATTATATGAATGTGAACTCCTCTATCCCCTGGACTGATGGAGACGGATTTTTTTTTAGAGGTCCCTGATCTCGGTAATCATGTTGTAGTCCATTGTTGTGACTACATGGCAGCAACACGTCATAGTATAGCCTGTCTTGTCTGCCGAAACCCGACATGGCGTTGTCCGCTCCTGTTAACGGACCAAGCCTACTATGTGAAATTACTGAACTTTACCTGAAACGCGAACTTCTCATTGTTTTAGGAACGTGAATAAAGAAAGTCTCTTCCCTCCCTTCCACTTCGTATTCCCCACTTTGCCCGCCTCTATGGGCCCTGATACTATCATTACAGTCAGGGTGAAATCTAATACCTAGTCCCCGTAGATCCAACTGAGGACCATGCCTGCCGAAAGAGAGAACGCCACAGCTAGCCAAGCCCAGCTGCCCTCCATGCTGTACAACTTAGAAAAATTTGAAGGGAAAGGCATAGTCCCCTTTACCAAGTTCATAAAGGATCCAGAATGGAAAGACAAGATAATCACAGGCGACGAGACATGGGTCTATGACTATGACCCTGAAACCAAGCGTCAATATGCCGAGTGGAGAGGTCAGGGTGAGCCTAGACCAAAAAAATCCAGGATATTGAAATCCAGAAACAAGGTGTTGCTGGTCGCTTTTTTGGATAACAAGGGCATTGTTCATCACGAGTATCTTCCTGCAGGCCAAACGGTTATTAAGGAAATGTATTTGGACATTCTTCGCCATCTAAGGGAAGCGATTCGAAAAAAAATGCCAGAAAAATGGCCTAATGGTGACTGGATCCTACACCATAACAATGCCCGCCCTCACACAGCGCACTTGGTGACGAGTTTTTTTGGATAAAAACGGGACAGAAATCCTACCTCAACCACCCTATTCCCCAGACATCGCACCAAATGACATTTTCCTGTTCCCCAAACCTAAAGCAGTTCTAAAAGGAAGACATTTTGACACCAGGGATGACATAATAGAAAAATCGCTGTTGGCATTGAAGAGCATTCCAAAAGAGCTCTATAAAAACTGTTTCGACAATTTGGGGAAACGATGGCGCTGGTGCGTTGAAGCAAGGGGGGATTACTTTAAAAAGTTTTAATATATATTTTTTTAAATATCTTACCTTTTTTTTTATGGACCCAGTCCGGGAACTTATGGGACACACCTTGTATTATATTAATCCTAAATATTATTTTATTATTATTTTTAATAATTTTATTATTTTAACACTGAATATTTAAAGCCAGAATATTAAAAGGGCACTTTATTTATTTCCCTACTATGAATTTGATTTAATTTCATTTACCCAAAAGATAAAATTAGATTTTTAATTTATTATATTTAAAGAATAAATTTACCTTTTTTTTTCAGAAGAATAAAACGAAAGAGAATTACTCGGTGGAAGAGAGTAAAATAATTTTTTTGACCACGGAAAAAAGTTTTCCTGCGATTAGCGCGGTAGAAGCTGGTCAGTCTTAAAAAATCAAATCTCCTTCCAGGAAATGGAAATGGACATTGAATCGTCTCTTTTACAAAGAGAAGGAAGCGTGAAACGCCCGCGTATTAGTGAGCCTTCTTGCAACTTCGAGTTTAACCAGATCAAGGCTATCCATCAGAAGGCTATAAGAAAAATGACTGACGTAGCAAAGTCGAACGGCATGACCACAGAACAACTTCAGTCAATGCTATCCCTGATGGGATGGGCTCTAAAAGGAACTGAGGATATAATACTGGATGTATATAAGGGGATAAATCACGCCAAAGAACATCAAATCCTCAAGGAGAAACCCTACATAAACGCCACAGCCAAGCCGAATGTCACAAAACCGATCCCACTCACAAAAAAGCAGCAGACCAAACCCGCCCCAAAAAATTTCACAACCGCTTATGAATCACATGTACTCATAAAGTCAGACAATCCATCCAAGGAAGCACGTGAAATTCTACGTGAAGTAAAAAAAAGCAGACCCCTTAATCCTGAATTCCTCTGACGTGGCAGCCTCCCTCAATGGAAAAGGACGGCTGGTCATCCACACCAGAACCACTCAAGGTGCTTCGACTCTCGCGGCGAGATTCAAAGCTAATAAAAATATCCCCAATTCCTTGAAATGCACGGAAAGACCTGTTGGGCCAGATTTTCCACCAAACAGACCCAACAAAGATGTAAACATTTACATCATATATATATATACGCAGTGTCTTGCCGGAGTGTTTGTTGTCTAGATGGAAGTCCCACAACAATGGCCGACGGTGCTCCCAAGATCTGCCAGGGGAGGACACAGTCCTGGACGTGTATCCCAAGATCTGCCAGGGGAGGACACAGCCCTGGACGCGTATCCCAAGATCTGCTGTAGGAAGATGACATCGGCCCTGTTTAAGTAGCCAGAAGCCCGATGCAAACAGAACCAGAGGAAGACCAGGAACCGGGGAGACATTCAGTTGGAGATGATGCCTATGCCTTTAAAGTTCACCCACAGTGTAAATGGAAAGCTGGTGGACAATGGAGAAGCTGCCTCGACAAGAAAGAAGAGGACTTCGAGCATTCTTCTTTGTTAAACCAGCCTACCTCTTCACCTTTTTTTTAATTTTGTATATAACTTATGATATCACATTTAGATAGATTGGACATATTTAGTATTTTTTAGAATTTCTTAAAGAAGAAATTATTATGTAGGTTTCTCAGAGGGGCAAACATGATAGATTTTATTTTTATTTCATTACTAATCTAAATTATCTCTCGATAAGAAAGTTAATTTAAATTTTCTTTAATATTTATTTTATTCTAAAATGGATAAAATCAGCCACATACATAACTAGATAAAATAGGTGTGTCTAGTTATTTAAATTTCTTGAAGAAGAAATTATTAATAAATCTCGTAGGTTAAGCATGTATATGTATAATTTCAAATTTTCTCTTAAAAAAAAAAAATAATAATATTATTTTTATTCCAAAAATTTTCTCTTTTAAAATTAATAATAATATTATTTTCTTTTTAAATATTCTAAGAATAGTTATATGTATAAGTTTTATTACTCTGTAGGAAAATTTTTACACTGGGGGCGCTGTTTGAAAACAGGGCAGTCTTGATCAAGTTTTCAGCGGCAGCGGATCGAATTTTTATCAGGAGAGGAGAGACGTTCTGGGGCCATGGGGGCTTGAAAGGCGTATGTAGAAAGGATATCTGGTAAGTCAACTTAAATTTTGACATAACGAGTTCATATAGAAAACATGGTAAAAACCATGGCAAATACTAAATTTAGATAGACTCGACTATTTAAGATATAAGATGAATTGAGGTTTCAACCTTATGTTTTCTTAAAGGTATTAATTATTATCGATTGATCATGTTATCTAAACGTGGTAATTTGATAGAATTATCAAATTATAGGCTGTTGGTAAAATTTTGCTGCCTACAAATAAGGAATTTTCTCGTATAAATTTCTATAAAGATGAATAAAATTTAATGTTCAATACAATTTTTTTTTTGTTCATTGCTATCTACAAATAGAAAAAGAAGCTCTATAAATTCCACAATGATAAATAAAATTTCATGTTTAGCATTTTTAAAGTAAACTGGTGATATTTTTTTAATCAAAATACAAAACATGTGTGTATTCTTGGTGTGTAACATGTTTCCTTCATGTATAAATCTGGGTGCAATCACTGATCTTGTCCACGCAAAATTGTCCTTGAAATGTAATGCTGCAAATCTACAGAGCTAAATAAAATTAGATGTTTAGCGTTTACAAAGTGTATTGGCAGTATTTTTATCCTTAATCAAATTATAAAACAGGTGTGTATTCTTGGTGTGTAACATGTTTCCTTCATGTATAAATCTGGATACAACCACTGAGTTAGAACGGATCTAACATTTGGCGCCCACGCGAGGCAAGTTACTGTTGAAAAGTGTAAAGCAACTTTACACGAAGTAAACCCCACGACCTGAAATAAAAAAATCTCATGCTCTACCACGATTTACATTAAGCCTAAAACAAAAATGCATAATAATGATGAACAATCCCTATTTTATGCCTTTTGTCCAACTTTCTCATAATTTCAAAGAAATATTCAACGTTTAAATACGCCCATCTTTGTGTATTTTCATGATTTTTGATAAAAGCTTTGTTTGAATGTCTAGAAATGAGTAGTAATGATGCACAATTGTCTTGTGGGACAATTTTTTTTTATTTTGTTCACTTTTAAAATATATTGTAGTGATGAATAATCATTTTGAGTCGAAAATTTCTTTATCTGTTCACGACGCCTTTTTACATATTTTTACACACGTGTAATTTTATACTTTTTTTTTCGAAATTGTCTTCCACCCACTTTAAAAATACGTTATACTCGGCGGGTAATCGCCACGAGTTAAACATTTCTCAAAAGATCGTCAATGCATAATAATGATGAACAATCCCTATTTTATGCCTTTGTAATGATGTACAGTCGTTTTATGGGTCAATTTTTTTTATTTTGTTCACTTTTATAGAATCTTCATTTTTCACAACGCGATGTTTGCGTTCACATCATTCGGATTTCTTTTATAGAACCTTCAATTTTCACAACGGGATGTTTGCGTTCACATCACTCAGGTTTCTTTTATAGAATCTTCATTTATTTTACAACGCGATGTTAGCGTTCACATCACTCGGGTTTCTTTTATAGAATCTCCATTTTCACAACGCGATGTTTGCGTTCACATCACTCAGGTTTCTTTTATAGAATCTTCATTTTTTCACAACGCGATGTTTGCGTTCACATCACTCGGATTTCTTTTATAGAACCTTCAATTTTCACAACGCGATGTTTGCGTTCACATCACTCGGGTTTCTTTTATAGAATCATTTTTTTTTACAACGCGATGTTTGCGTTCACATCACTCGGGTTTCTTTTATAGAATCTTCTTTTTTTTTACAACGCGATGTTTGCGTTCTCATCACTCGGATTTCTTTTATAGAGAGTCTCCATTTACACAACGCGATGTTTGCGTCCACATCACTCGGATTTCTTTTACAGGATCTTCATTTTTACCCAACGCGATGTTTGCGTTCACATCCACACACACATACATGTATGGTTTCTATGTTATTGAATACCAATTTCCTTTTGAAACGTGAACCCCATAGTGTCTTAGGAACATGATTAAGAAAGGCCCCTCCCCTTCCTTCTGTTTTGTGTTCCCTACTCCGCCCGCCTCTATGGGTCCTAATACTCCCGTTACAACCAGGGTGAATGACTAATACCTAGTTCCTGTAGATCCAACAACTGAGGACCATGCCTGCTGATGAAGAGAATGCCGCAACTAGCCAAGCCCAGCTGCCCTCCATGCTATACAACCTGGAGAAGTTTGAAGGGAAGGGCATTGTCCCCTTCACGAAATTCATAAAGGACTTTGAGCTTGTCTACGACCTAAAGGCCCTAGACGACGCCAGGAAAAGAATCCTCTTGGACAACCACCTCCGGGGGGCTGCGAGGGAGTTTGCCCTACAATCTCAACAAATCCGCCTCGGATACGAAGAGTTGAAGGAGAGTCTAGAGGGGAGTAAAAGGGGTAAAAGGAGGAGCCAGTTCTTCTCATGTAGACAAGGGGCCGGGGAGAAGGTACGAGACTTCGCCGCGCGGGTGAGCGACCTTGCAGCTGGAGCAGAGTCGGATGGCCTGAAGATAGGCACCTCGGAGATCGCGGAGGTTTTCACCGACGGACTCTGCCCCAGCCTGTGGGAGAAGGCTCATCTATATCAAGGCGAGCCCTGGGAGACCCTAGTTACCAAGCTACAGTGGCTGGAACAGAGAGAGGAAGACTACAGGGAAGCGCAGCGCTCCAGCGCCGACAGGAACGGTCAGAGGCTGGGTGACATGGGCAACAAATTGGCCGAGCTGGAGAAGAAAATGGAGGCGCTAGAAGTAGAGAATGCAGCCCTTAGAAGACAAAGAGGGGGTGCCAATAATGCAAATAGCGGGGGAGGAAGGTGGCCATCACACCCCGCAGGGAGAAGGGATTACGGAGACAACGCCCAGGATAACAGGAGGGGAGCCCCCTTCAGGAACTGGCAGAGGAGACCAGCACAACAACCACCCAGACAACAACGGAATCCATCCCCGCATAGACAACAAAGGAGGGAACCCAACGGTGAAAGAGAGGAGAACCCTGGAGTGGACTACAAGAAGCAGGGTGCAGGGAGACCGCCCCCCAAGTGCTATGGGTGCGGCGAGCCAGGGCACCTCATCCGAGACTGCCAGCAGAAGCAGAGAAAAAACTAGGTCCGGCTTGCCTCAAGGCAGGAGGGGGATTTGCGGCCAGTTTACCTGCCATAAATGTATATATTTTGAAAAAAGGGAGGTCTCTGGACGAGAAGTGTCTAAAATTTATCCTAGATTCAGGCTCTGAGGCCAACATTGTAAATATTGACAATTTAAATGTATGCACTGAGGGACTAGACAAGCCTACTTACCTTAAAGGTATATCAGGAAAATCTTTAAGGTCATTAAGGAGTGAGGTGTTGGAAATAGGGGCAGTGGTGAACGGTAAGCCCATTAGGGAGGTAAGGACAACCTTCGAGTATTGTCACATGGGGGAGTTAGGATTTGATGGCATACTCGGATTACCAGGTTTCCGAGCTCTAAAACTACACCTTTGCTACGACGGTAGTATTAGGTCCGACTACGAAAGGAGGGAGGATCCGACCAAGTCGGCCTTTCTTTCCTCTCTACAAACGATAGAAATGTCTCCTCTGCCACCCAGGATACCCCTAAACGAGATCCACACGGGCCACGATATTTTCAGGGCCTTCAGTCATTGCTTTTGCAATGATATAAAAGATATGGGGAATGGCTCCACCATCACAGCCCCTAAACTGAGGATGCTGACTAGTAAACCAGTATATAGGAGGCAATATCCAATCCCGAACAGATTAGTCTCAAAGGTGAAAGCGTTAGTAGACGAACTGGAGGAAGTAGGGATAATAGAAGGGAGCACCTCTCTGTGGAATTCCCCTCTATTCCCGGTTGCCAAAACTGATGGTAGTGTTCGCATCACCATGGATCTACGTATGATCAATGAGGCAACTGAATTCTTCCCGTTCCCGATACCCCGTGTTGAAGACAATCTGCGCGCATTTGCGGGTGCAAAAGTCTTCAGCACATTAGATCTGACTTCTGGATTCTTCCAGATACACATCCCGGAGAGTTACAGAGATTATTCTACCTTCTCTCTGCCCTGGGGAAGATACCGCTTCACGCGTTTGCCACAAGGAGCTAAAAACTCGGCACAAGTCTTCCAGTGGGCCATGAATTTGGTCCTGGGTGACTTGTTGTTCAAATGCGTTCGCCTGTACATCGATGACGTCATTGTCTACAGCGACTCTCACGAGCAGCGTGTAGCGGACCTCGCCGCTGTACTCGAACGCCTGAGTAAGTTCGGTTTGAAGGCCAAATACGGGAAGAGCTATCTCTTCAGGGACTCAGTAGAGTACCTGGGTCATATAATCGACCAAAATGGGATCAAACCCATGTGGGATAATGTCGCCGCTCTCAGGGATTTGAAACGGCCTCATAACATCAAGGCAGTCAGAAGTCTATTGGGTACAGTTAACTACTACCGACGCTTTATTCCCAACGCAGGTGAGGTCCTGGCTCCACTGAGCAACCTATTAAGGAAGGGACATAGATTTGCTTGGGGTATGATAGAGCAGTCAGCCTTTGAAACGGTGAAGGGAATATTAACCAGCGAGCCACTACTAATTCACCCAACAATTGGGATGCCTTTCATCCTGAACACTGACGCCAGTGGGATAGCGGTGGGCGCTTGCCTCCAACAGGAGGTCAATGGGACAGTGAGGCCAATTGCTTATTATAGCAAGAGACTGACTGGTCCTGAGATCCGCTATTCCACAATAGAAAAGGAGGCTTATGCAGTAGTGTTGTCCCTACAGCACTTCAAACACCTCCTGGCGGGCAGTAGAGTAGAAGTACATACTGACCATAAACCGATTACTTATAATAAGGGGTCTGATTATAAGAACGCCAGACTGTCTAGGTGGGCAGAGATCATCCAGGACTTCAACGTTACATTCATTTATGTCCCGGGGAAGGAAAACACGGTAGCCGACTTCCTTAGTAGGTTCCCGTGCGAGGATGATCCAAACCTGCCACAAGATAGGAGGGTAGTGGCCGCGGTGGTAAGGGACCGTCGGCCCCCCTTATTAAATAGTAATCAGATATGGGAAGGTTTACTTCAAGAGAAAGGATGGGCCCCAGTAATGAATAAGTTAACGAAATTAAAACCAAATAGCACGGAGAGGTATAATAACCGGGAATATAGGTTACTAGACAAATACCTCGTTACAAAGAATGAAAGGGGTACCTGGGTGAAGGTGGTTCCTACAGGTTTTAGGGAAACAGTGATCAGCTATCATCATGACATCGCTACTGGAGGTCATTTTGGAGTTAGAAAGGTTATGAGAAGGCTGAAGGGTGACTATTACTGGCCTGGCATGAGGACACAAGTCCGGAAATATATACGCAGATGCGAGAGCTGCCAGCTATCGAATCAAGGCGTAGCCAAAGCCGCTAGTGCTCCCCACTTTAGACCCGAAAAAACCCTTTGAGCACCTGGCTCTAGACTTCATAGGACCGTTAGAAGTAACCCCACGGGGTTATTCGAGTATTCTGACCATTGTGGATCTTTTCACTAAGTTCCCAATCCTGATTCCTACTAAGGACCAGTGTGCCAATACAGTGGTTAGGGCCTTGTTGGAAAGGATAATCACTACCTTTGGGGTACCAAAAACGATACTCTCTGACCGAGGATCAGCATTCATGAGTTGCGTATTCAAGGGAGTCTGCAAAGCTATGGGGGTTGGAGCAGTAAATACCACGGCCTGGAGACCTCAGAGTAATGGCGCCGTAGAAAGGCTCAATAGGACGGTAATAGAATCTCTACGCAGGTGTACAGGGGGGAACAATTGGGATACCACCTTACCAATGATAGCCTTAGCTATCAGGACCACTGTACACTCTAGTACTGGATTTACTCCAGCGAAACTGGTCTTCGGACATGAGCTGAGGCTCCCACAACCTTTCCAGGAAGAGGAGCTTAATCCTGTATGCGAAGATTCAATTACCGAAATGGCGGCCTTCTATGAGCGGGAATTGGTGGAGGAGGTTGAAAAGGCGAGAGAGGTGGTGAGGCAGACTTACTTGAAGGAGCAACAAGAAGCCAGGGCTGAGTTTGAAGCTAGAGAATTAAGGACCTTTGAGACAGGGAATCTAGCTTTGGTAAAGAGAATGCATGAGACGAAAGAACATCACAAATTTGAGCCAAGGTATAGAGGACCATATGAGGTACTACAAAGGACAGGCGACACTGTTTACCTTTTGAAGGATTTGGAGACGGGGCACTTAGACAAGATTCACATAGACAGAATGAAGGCCTATCATGCCCCGGTAAAGACTTACCCTACGGGGGACGAAAACGCACAAGAACAAATAGATAGTATCATTGATGATGAGGATCACTGGGTACATCCAACGTATCCCATACATTCCCATAGAACTGTAGAACCAGGGGAACCTCGAGAGACAGCAACCTTAGGAAACCCGCCTGAGGTAGTAAATAGGGCAAATGGTAACAATATTGACGGCCCTGAATTACGCCGTTCAACCAGGGTCAAGAGGCCCATTGAGTGCAAATCATGTCCAGGTTGCCAATGATTAAACCTATAGAATGTGTACTAGAGTTAGTTAAATTTTTGATCATAGTATGAAGTATTAGAGTGTGAGTTAATGGCCCTAGATTGTGGCCTTAAAGGATTTTCAGTTTTTTTTTATTGCAGAGGCTATTCTGTGTTAATAGCAAATTGTGATTTAAGTCGTGAGTTCAAAAAGTTTATTTTGTTTTAATTTTTTTTTGAAGGTCCTGAACAGTGGTTCAACTTTAAAAACAATTAAGGGACTTAGACGCATTAGATAATTGCTGTGCTTGTAACCAATTCTCTATGGAATGACTTGGAGCTTGCGTTGGGTAAAACTTGACTCCCTGTAATCCCTGGATCCAATTATAGTCCAAGGAGAATCTCTAATGAGAGTGTGTAAGGCAATTACAGTCTAAGATTTGATATGATAGAGCAACAAGTAACCTCAGTTGTTAAACTCCAGAACGAGCTGGGTACTGAAAACCCTATAAGTCCAAAGAAAGAGTTTAGCTGAATAGCAGAGGAAAAGAAGAATGCCAATGACCTATATAAGAAATAGGGTTGGAAAAAACACTTGTGGGTCTATCAGGTTTGGCAATGAGGCAAATGCTTGAAGTACAGTTCGCTCCATTTAAGTGCTAGTCTTGATGATTCGTTTATTTAGACACCAAGTGTCAAGGTAAGAAGATTTTCAAACTGTTAGACACACAGTTAAAGTGATAGGCTAGATTTCAGAATACAATTGTTGACAATCAACATAGTTTGATTCATTTATCTGTTAATTTATAAATAATATTTATCTATGATTAGATAATTTATATAGAGTTTGTATGAGGCATTTATTTAAGTTAATAGGGCTTTAGTCCCCACTCTGTTTTAATTAGATGACTTTATTTGATTTCACATTAGTCCTAGAAGATTTTATTATTGTAAGGGTCTATTTGATAGAAACAATTGAGTGTTTTGGCGTCTATAGCAGCTTCTAACCTTAGGATGAATGCCCTCAGTGACTAAATTGTGTGAATGTGAAGGGGAATAAATGTAGAAGAAGGTTAAAAACTATTATATTGTGAGCCCAAAATACATTAGAATAGGGTCAGGGAACCAATAGATTCAATTTTTAATTTTGATTTCTTTATTTGTTAGGATCGAATGGCCTCACAGGACTGTACAACTCTATTGTTAGGAAAGGAATTCGCTCCATTTTGTTAGGTCTCCTCCTATGGGAGTATAAGTTTGATTTCTATTATTAGGGTAATCAATCACCCTATTTCATCATATCAACTTGAATTCTAAGAATCGTAGGCAGTGACCATGTCTCGATTCTCAGACTAGGGTATTTGTGGAAGGCCACGGTCAGGCCAGAAGTCTGCAAGTCCCCTCCTCTTTAGAGGAAGCGGAGAGGTACCAGGTGAACTTTGTGCTAGGTGGGGAGATTTAGTAGCCGATGTCGTAAGCAAGATGCTTAACGACAAACCTCGGATAACCGAGCTGACATCGTAGTTTACGACGCTTTAAGCGTGGCTGAAATGAGGGTGATCCAGTCGGGAGGTTGGAAAGGATCGGCACGTTGGGAGCTCTTTTAAATATTGCGCAGCCTGGAACAAATTCACCGATGGACGAGCTTAGAAACATGCGCTGGGTAGAGAAATCGAATTCCCTGTAACTCCTTGTATCTATGTCAAAGTCTAAAGGGTTTTTCTAATGAGGGTTAACAATTGAGCATGTAAGAAACAAGTTATGATTAGACGAGGCGATTCCGTCTACAGATTTTAGGTACCAGTTAGCAAAGTGACAGGTGGGCTGTCCAGATTCTTTGCATTTTATATCGCCCCAGGCTGGCAAAAGTTAATCACCTAATTAAAGACTTTCTGTGGCGGAAATGTATTTCAAATTTGAATACTATCTGAAATATTCCAGGAGTTTAAGATAAAATTTGTTTCCAGAAATGTATTTCATCCCACCCCTAGGACGGATGGGGCTTGAGAGCGCTGGGGTCGATTTCTATTCCGTTTCTTTTATTAGCAGAGAAAATTAAAACAAATTTTACTAAAATAGTTACAAGTTTTGTTAATAGATGGCGACGCTGGCTTGTTACATTGGCCGCCGCAAGCTTCGAGTTGATAACTGCGATGCGAAAAAACATATTTACATATTTATAGCATATATTTTTACAAGGCTTTTTAAAGTTGTATTTTAGTAAACATAAAACACGAAGTTAAGCAACTTTTAATATATGATGGTGGCTACAACGGAGAATCCCTGGCAGCTTTACTCAATGAAGTAACGGAGCAAGGCATCGATTACTGAATATGAGAACATTGCAATATGTAACAATACAATATGAACAATATGTAATAATGAATGCTAAGTTCATGACTGTCTGGAATCGAGGGTGTTACCCACTCGTCTATCGACTTTTTTATGCGGTTTCAATTGTTCAATACTGTGGATTCTCTGTAATTCTTTAGGATACACTCATGGGCAAAACTGAAGTGGAAAATGGTAACGATGAAAACTTAAAAACTTTGTAAGAAAGGACTCGTTAAGCCATCTGTTTGCCTTTATTTGAATGAACATTTAAAAGACATTAGTATTTATTCTCATTATTTATTCTCACCAAATCAAAGAAGGTGGAGCCCTTAGCCAATCAGACTTGACAGGATCCCACGGTGGAAGACCTGACCAACGCTGAACCCCTGTATTACGCGCATCGCTCCTTCAGAGTGCGCTCTCTGTGCAACCGTTGCCGTGGGCCCTGTAGGCTCTCTTTTGGCTCTGCGAGATGCCGCGTGCGAGTGAACAACACATGTTTTCTTGAGTTATTGGTTGAACATATTAATTTTGTAGTTCTCTATTTCAAATCTTTATTATTAAACATGATATGTTGACCACTACCTCCTACATTAACGGACCCTCTATCTGTGTCTCCTGCAGGTCTAGTAAGTACAAGTTTTGACAATTTTTTTTTATTTTTTTCACCCTACAACAAAATATTAAGACGATCTATATATTGAACCAGAAACTCCCATGAGAGACCAACAAACATGGCTACACCTGTGACCAACTATCTGGGTCTAGACTTCATATGTTTGTACTAGTTTCTCTTGATTTATACCTGGAATCCTGATGCCTTTTTATTTATTTAAGAGTTAGGAGAGAAACACGCCATATCCGCAATTTGGATCGTGTATATTTTAAATTATATACAATTAATACAATTGAACATTGGAAATCATTAAAATTAAACGTTCCAATTTTACATATAGAAATTATAAGTAGTAGCTTGATATTTGTACAGTCAACTCAAAATCCTGCAGAATCTTTTAAATTCGATGTATTTATTAAATTATTTAAAATTTTATATAGATATGTATGAGAAATAATAAAATCCCATGACCATTTCTAGATAGCAAAGGACCATCTAGCGGAACAAAAAATAAACTAAACGTTTATTTAACTAGTTCCGTGAAAACCACAATTTCTTCGAAAAAAAAAAAAAAAAACTGCAACTCTGCTATCTAAAATTTCTCATGTCAACCCGGTCAGGATACGCCTTATTTGATTTTAATATATATTGATATTTTTTCGATAAAACATTAAGTTGCTTCATTAGATATGTCTTTTCAATAAAATAAGCAAGAATATGTCTTCAACTATGTACGATAAAGTATTATGTAAAAACACCATCAAATTGCGGTATTATCGATATTGTTGAAATACGGTTTGTTATTTGTTAAGTCGTTAGTCAATGGCAGCCTGTTAAATTGGTCTCTATTCGTATGATTATTCTTGTATTCAATATTTTATATTCCTAAACTAAAAATAAAAAAATAAAAAACAATAACATTCGCGACATTGCGCAATGGCACTGCAAAGTGAAACTTACACTAGCGAAAATCGAAAAGTGCGAGATCCTATTGGCACCCTCCGCCGTTAAGTTTCACTTTGCAGTTTCCATTATTTGGAGGGACAAAATGTCGTTAGTCAATGGCAGCTTGTTAAAACTTAAAAGTGACCTTTCTATAGCGCCACCTTCTAAATAGCGCCTTATTCTCTATAGCGCCCGATTTTAAATACGTAGTAGGATACGTACATTAAAGGCGAACTGTCTATAGCACCCCCTCTTTATAGCGCTTCCCTCTCTATAGCGCCCTATTTTAAATACGTAGTACGATACGTTTAACATAAAAAGTGACCTATCTATAGCGCCCCCTCTAAATAGCGCCTTCCTCTCTATAGCGCCGGTTTTTAAATACGTAGTACGATGCCATTAAAAGTGACCTGTCTATAGCGCCCCCTCTAAATAGCGCTTTCTTCTCTATAGCGCCCGATTTTAAATACGTAGTACGATACGATTTACATTAAAAGTGACCTGTCTATAGCGCATCTAAATAGCGCCTTCCTCTCTATAGCGCCAGATTTTAAATAGGCCTATTTAATATAAGCAATATTAAAATTATATATTATAGATTATGTTAAAATATGATTTTAACAAAATAAAAACGGTGCTAAAATTTCGTCGTTAAAAGTACTCATTTAAATATTTAGACTATAAAAATTAAAAAAGAGAAAGCAAGTATGAAAAGAGATATATTATCAAAAATGTGGCTAGTGTAAATTGCGAATATTTATATATCAAATTATTTCGTTTTATTTCAATCAATGGCCGAGCATGTCGCGTAACGTCGAGCTTAACTGGTATTTTTTGCTAATTGCGTGATTTATAAAAGTTTAAATATAATTTTAAAGTTACCTGAATAAATCCGGGACTAAATATAATATGTATACCAAATATTGTCGTATAAAATAAACAAATATTAAGAGATGACAGCCGGCCACGTTGCTTAAGTGGGGGGGGGGGGGCAAGCCAATAACGTTTGAACACGTCACACAGAATGGACCAATCCTATTCGTCTTGAACGAACATACGCTTTATTTTATGTGATGATATATTTTGAAATTTAGATATAACCGATCATTTTCGCCGATTAATATAACTTTTTTTATTTATATATTTCGGTAACCTGGAGCATACTAAAGTCGCCTACTATCGCGCAAAATACGGTATTCTTTATATAATATTTATATAATAACTTTTCTAATTTGAAATATTTGGTAAGTTTTATTTATTTATATATTTTCATTTTAAGATATAACCGATCTAATTCGCCTTTTAAAATAACAAATATAGTTCGCTTAATAAACTTTTTGACATAACTTTTAATACATTTTTAATAACATGACGTAATGTTATATTCCGATATGTAAAATAGGTTAGATTAAGACGCGTTACAAATTAGGTTAGATAAAGGAGTGTTATAAAAAGGTTAGTTTCAGGAATTAAAATAGATTAGATAGATTATATTAGGTTAGTTTAATCTCTATTTAAGGTTGGTTTAAGATAAGTTGACTTAGGTTAGTTTCAGATATTTCATAAAAAAATAATGTTTAGAGAAATTATTTCAATATTTTATTTTAAAAATAGGGTTATGGTTGACGCCTAAACTTCGAGCAAAGGCTTGTTGGCGGTTATTCCTTTTAGGCGCAGCGGAAGCGTGCTGGGCCCATAACCTGTTGAAGTTTGAGATTGAATCAAGGAATAAAGGTATTATTTATTAAAAAACAATGGTTGCCTGTAAAGTCGGTTTAACGGGCGAATATTTTACGTGACAACGTATTTATTGATACGAATATAAATAAATTGCACAATATGAACAAGGAATGAAAATAAGAATTTTTCAAATTTTAACTATTAGAATTATATTTTGTTTCATAAAACGTTGTACATTTAAACTTAACTAATTCTAACTATATCAGTGATTTTGTTGAGGATAGGACGATGATAGTAGAAATATGAAATGAAAGGAAGTTAATGTTCATTTTACATTAAAGCATTTACTTATATATTTTTTTTCTTTATAATTTTTGCTAGATAAATTAGAAACTATTAAAAATTTCTAAAATAATAATTATTTAATTTTAAACTATTAATTTACTTAATTCTATCAACATTAATCGATAGTATAACCGAAATAAAAAATTTGTTGATATATATATATATATTTTTTTTTATTCTGACAGACGTTCTGTGCCTCATCGTAACGTTACCGGGCGTTACACTTTTTCGTAAGTGACTCCCAGCCGCAACCTATTTAAAGACGTTGTCACGTAAAAATGTATTTCTTTATAAACTGTTAATTCATTTTTAAAAATTCTAATTAGGTAAAATTCAAATTATTTCAAGTGTAAAACTTGTAGCAAATATAATGACATATATTTACCTAGATGTGAATAGAATAGTATTAATATGTTATTTTTGTTTCGTTGCAGGTTCTATCTTCGGAAGATTCATCTGCCACCGAAATGCCACGAAGAAGGAAAAACGTTGGAAGAGCACCCGGAAAATCGGCGCGGCAGTCGGGAGAGCTGCTGAATCACCCGAGGAGCGAGACACACGTCCCAGAGGTGTTCGAGTCGAAGCGTCTACCTCAAGACCTGCCGCAGCACCCGAACGTGGACGCGCAGAATTGGAAAATGAACAAATCAGAGCTTCCAATTCAAGGGCCGCTAGAACATATTCAAAGGCAAATTTAAATAGAGAATGTCTTTTGAATTATTTAACTTACCCAGGTTCCTCGAGCGCACAAACGGAAAATATGGTTTCAATAAGGAATGAAGAAACGGACATCGATGATACCCTAGGCGAAATTGTTGACGAATTGCGGCCAGAATATAGCGAAGCCATGTGTATTCCATGTAATATGAAACCGAAGCTTCGCCTACCGTCTCTCCCATACTACGATGTAGTAGCCTTACTAATGCCGGCGACTATAATGCGTGGGATAAGTCTGCCAAATTTGTACCGTCAATATTCTTTTTCATTTAATTTGTATCATATGCAAATTAATTTGCTTAAGCGAAAGAATTACGCTGTTCAGTTGAGAATATGCTCTATAGGGTATTTGAATGAGCTAACGGATTGTTTCCCACCATCTCTAACCGTCGAAATCAACCACCAGACAATTTCTGTCGTTGGGAATCCATCATCCGGAACTCAAAATAATCGTGTTGGTTATCCTTTAGACATCACCGATCGATTAATCTTTACTCAATCCAAGATCAACGTCGTTGACATCCTTTGGAGACCTGAACATGGTAAGTTTTATACTGTTTCCGTGCATTTGGTAGAGAAGCTTACTACAACGACGTTACTCAATCGTTTACGTATTAAAGGAATACCGAATGATGAAGTAACGCGCACCTTGATCAAGAACATATTCGAATTTGAAAATGAAGATATTTCTATCTCCCACTATAGAGAAACCTTGATATGTCCTTTAGGAAGGATGCGTTTACAGTTCCCATGTCGCGCAACTACCTGCAATCATATCCGATGTTTCGATGCTTCCCTTTATATCCAAATGAACGAGAAGACACCTAAATGGATATGCCCGGTATGTGATCAACCGGCTCTTTTTAAAGATCTCATTATTGATGGGTATTTTCAAG